ATAATAGAGATCAGATTAGCTTTTTATGACGCGAAGCTTCTTCACTCCACAGCGTTGAGAGCAGCCGCAGTGCACCGCAAAGGTCCTATCTGTGATCAAATAATCAAAGATTTCTCGGCCGTCTGCCAATAAGGTTTCTTTCACGTAACCTATTCAAATGTAGCAATGAATGTATTGTGGATGGTCGGAAGAAAAAGCCTATGTGCTTTTCCAGTAGCCGTTTGCTTCACTAGGGTTACTACGGGGTTTCTTTTTGTCTCGAGTCAAAGGAATGGTGGCATCAGTACACCTGATATAGCCTTGAGTGATATATCTAATAAACGAGGTGATGACAATAAACGGCCTTTCTACTATATTCAGGTGCATTTAAGGTATATGTCGACAAACTCTTGAAGCAAATGTTCTGTTTTGGGATTTGTCCTTAACTGCGACGCTTCATATATAAATACATAGTACCGCTGTGGATATAAAACAGCGGCCATACGGTTGTAGACGCCATCCTACTACCTATGTGCGATTTTGGGCTCACAATGACACCGGTTGTTGAGTTTAAGCAAATGCGTGAATTATAATTAGTCTGCGTATTGCTGGTACATTGAATCAACGTAAATGTTGACCAAGGTCTACATATCCGACTATTAGCAATTGCTAGAAAAAGGTTTTCACCGCCCGGTGAGTGCTACGCTATGTTGGCCCGTCGACTACCCGATTAGAACGAACTCTGCGATTAGGATCGGTTAACTACGAAACGTTCGACTGTTTTTGCTTTCCTGTACCTTATCAATGCAATAGGATTCAATGACACCAACAAAAATTGTTGTGACTTTTTTTTTCTTCCAAAGCCAAGCTGCATAATAAAGCTTGTGCTTGCAATAGAATCAATAGTTGACACTTGATTGAGCGACGACCGCCACAGAAGGGAAAATGACTGAGTAGGCTCAGAACGAAGATGGCGTGGCGAAATACGGTAAAAATAATCACTTGCTTTACTCGAACAAGTAATATAATGTGCTTCGTAGAATAACACCTGACGTAATCAGTCCTGAATTTTTTGATCTACACGAGTAGTCTTTTTTTTCAGAAACAGGTGCTCTACATTTTGGCCGTATATAATGATAGGCTCAATCTTGACGGTCGGTGCCGATAAAGATAACAAACTTTCTATATGAATTGTGAAAGTGTTTAAATTCTAGAACAGCTTTTTTTTTTTTTTTTTTTTTAATCAAGCTTCTTGTTCTATTTGTGCGCAGGAGACGTTAATGTTTTCAAGGTTCCGTAGGATCCGCTTTACGAAATTTGCTCTTTGTCTATCGTATCATATTGTAAACGTCGATTGTGACGGCAGATTAAGATGGACAGAGTTTTCACAACCGCCGCCATTTTCGGCCGCTGTAGTAACTAATTTATGGATCTATTTCTCACCCACGTACGCGGACGAATGGCGGACAGCCGTTAGGATGAAATAGGTCGAAGAGATCGGGCATAGATATTGGCTATCATCATAAACGGGAGTCATATTATGTATGGCATTAGCTTCATTATATTTAATTTTTACTCAAGTAATGTTTAGATAATTACATTGTATACTATAGTGAAGAACTAAGGTGAACGGGTGAACAATGTGAAATAGGTCTGTCTGGCAGGGTAGAGTACCGGGGAGGCTGGTGGTTAGCTTGTATTGAAATTTATCTATAATGCTGAGATGTATTTTTGTTGTACTACCGAACTTGTCGTATTAATCTAAATGTTGCTCGTTTTTGGACGGCGAGGTCGTTACGACCCGTTACATGAATAGGATTTGAATTCACTAACTGTTGATGCGGCTCATTCAGTCTATCTTAACTATTTACACTGACATGCCTAATACTTTCAGCAAGCTCCGCTCGGTAGCGGTACGTTTGGTGTAGTGTCCAAAGGCACCTACTGCCGGCGAAATCCAGATGGAACGGAAAAGGAAACGATAGAATGTGCGGTCAAACAAATCAATGACCCCAGAGAAATTCGAGCCTTCATGAATGAGGTGACTCAATTGTCACGGGTGAACCACGAGAATATCGTCACTATTTATGGGGCTCATATAGGCAGGCCATGCTATCTCGTCATGGAATATGCAGCTGGTGGGAGTCTTTACCATGGTAAATATTGTAGTGAGTTCGATGAACGAAGTTATCATAATATCCGTTTGTTTTTGCATTTGAATTGCTCCATGAAATCCAGTGACAGAATCTAGAGTCTGAAAATAATTTTAGACTTTTCTGAATCAACTTGCAATGCAATGGATCCTTGTTGTTTATTAATACTGCCAAAGTGCCAGTTTGATGAGTGCCACACCCGACTCACTGAATATTTACTTCGATGATTAAACTGATGACCTCTTCATTAACGTCCGTGAAATACGCGTGAACGCTTGAGAATGTCTTATTCACTTTATTCATTTTAGTGCTTCACTGTAAACCGTATACCGTCCATGTACAGTACACGACGGCACACGCTCTCTCGTGGTGTCTGCAATGCATAAAAGGCATTGATTATCTTCACAATATGGAACCAAAGCCTCTCGTACATCGAGACATCAAGCCACCCAAGTAAGTAGTTCCTTTACCCATATCCATGTATGCATGAATGTTAATTCCCAATGACTATTGTCCTTTCTGTAGATTTGGCACTGCGGTTTCTAGAACTTTTTTTTTTAAAGTTTATTTATTGTTTAGCCTTAGCTGAGATGTCCTACATTTTTTTTTGTTTGAATCGTTAGCCTATGTATAGCATAATATTATCTTTCGATCATACGAACACTAGGGCACGACGGGGATGTCACCTATCATAGGCCTTCAAGGCTCGTTGCCTTCTTTGTATAAGTTAGCCAATCATCAGCTATCCAAACAATCTTTGTGCTAAACTCCCAGAGGTATTTCTTTACTTCAGAGATGGACTAATAGACCCATTCTAATGGTGTAGCTCAAGTACACAAGCGGAGTCCCGCAGTGTATTTCTGCAATTCACCTGCAACGAATTCAAATGCTCAAAAGAAATCTCACAGCTGATAGTCGCTCGTTTAAACACTGAGGTTTCACGGTTGTTCAGCGCACAACTCGTGCGGATTTACTCCACGTTCCGAGTTCTAGTTAACGTTGATGTCCCACGTGGGTTTGGGCGTAAATGTAATTCCTGGACAGATTCCGGTTAGAAATTCCTAGTGTGCCAAGGCTTATGTGGTCATGCTATTTCGCACGAGAACGTTCATAAGGTAAGCATACTTCGAGCCGATACAATGAGACTCATACTTGCGCTGGTGCTATATTCTGCATTCATGACCTGATATGTTTGTATTATAAAAAATAGTACACTGTTGTTTGAGAACGCTATACCTGTATTTCACCTTTGTATTGGGTACTAAGAAAAACGTCGAAGTTTTCGGGCATACATATGCTGAAAGGACGATTTATAAAAGCAATAACTGCTATAGCTACTAATAACTTCAGTAACAGCTATTATTGTGTGGTATATTTGTGATGAACTTCTTTATGGCCCGCCAGATAAACTAAATAAGCACCAAAAATAGAAGCCTAAACATTGCATAAAAAAACAAAATTAGTTTATCTTCAAGGATCTGAAATAATTTGCTGCCCAGTGCACTCAAACAACGGAGCTGAAAAACTATTCCGTTTGCTGGCGTGCAATCACATTGGACTAACGATATCTCGACTATGGACCCCGTTTTACCTATAGTTCGTACTTTACTTACTGGACAAATTACTTGTTGTCTGCTAACATTGTTTCAGCCTTCTGCTAGTTGACGGAATGTTGACGCTAAAGATTTGCGACTTCGGCACAGCTTGTGATTTGCAAACGAACATGACTAATTGCAAGGGATCAGCAGCATGGATGGCTCCAGAGGTATTTACAGGTTCGTAATAATACTATTTCAGATCGATTGATCGAACTATGAAGTCACACCTTACATAGCCCAGCAATGAAAGTCTGTCCAAGTGCAAGTATCCTTGGCCCAGACTTCATCGACGGGAACCGTTCATACATGAAATAATCACGTTGGATCTAATATCAAAGTGAACGAGGGATTAGTTGTTGCCATAATACAAAAACATTCGCTTCAAACTATCTCCAGCCAGGCAGGTAGGTTGTCACCATCCAAGGACACGTGTTACCTGGACAGTGGCCTTCACAAACATCTTTTGATTAACATTTTCAGTTAGGATTCCGAAAAATAACCTATGAGCAATGTTTGATTCATAGGGACAAATTACACTCAAAAGTGTGATATCTTCAGTTGGGGAATCATCTTATGGGAAGTGCTATCGCGTCAGAAACCTTATGAAGACATGGACTTTGCTTATCAAATTTTATGGGCCATCAAGGATAATAAACGGCCTCCGATGATTTATGACGCTCCAAAGGTCAGTCGCTATTCTTCCTTAATACAGCTTTAACCAACCAGGTAATAGTATGAGGCCTGTATAGTTTGATATTATCTGATTGTTGAAAAATGAATTAATGAACGGACTTAGACAATCTGCAGGTGTATCGTTCTTCGAAGGTTACTTAAACTCCTATAAGTTCGTACGACCAGTTATAGTTGGAATCTATAAATGGTAAAGAAGGATATTATCTTTATTCAAGGCGCTTTCAAATTTTGCATGAACGGTACCTATCTTCTACACAAGTTTTCAATCTGTGAATCTTCAATAAGCCTCTTTTCAAACGCGATGCATTAATGGGGACAGGTAATCCAAGATTTAATGGCACGCTGTTGGCATCCGCTACCGGAGAATCGGCCAACCTCATCAGATATCGTACAGCTTATGACTCGGCTTTTCAGCTACTGCGATAAAAATGATCTCGTCCCCCTGTCATGTCCCATTCCATTGAGGAGCTCCAGCACGTCATCAACGATTTCAATGGCGACATCGAACGTATCTAGCTCGCCAAATGCCCTTACACCTGTTGCTACTCAGCGTCGTCCAAATACCTTCCTCACCGAGGTACATTCACGCGCCTTTATTCTCCAGTTGCCCTAATATCCCTTGCCTATCATCAAACAAGTGATCTCGAATATCAATCCTATCCGTATCATGAGCATTAGTTCGCGGTGCTGAGGCCATAGCTATATCTGAGTGTCGTATGTACTAGCTGAGCATTTATGTAACATAACAAACGGGTAATTTTACTACTTGTATTGTTGCAAAATTGATACCAAACTTGTATAGAACTTATTACAGAACTTTGGACGATAAGTGATCAGAGGCAACTTATACAGTATAAGTTACGTCTGACTAAACAGGATCATATCCAGCTGCATATCTCGCACTACAACATCTCACACGCACACATATTTTACATAAACAACTGTGTTGTGTTAATGAAAATTCTAGAATTTTCCGATGCTTAACGCCAACTACAGTCATCTGATCAGCCCTGATCCGTACACGCCGTCAACGAGTAGACAGGGCACCTCCGAAAGGCATGATCAGACGTCTGAAACCCCGCCACCACCAGGTAATCATTTTTTAAATTCGCCGCAAACACACTACGTGGTTGACTATTTCGCAGAATGATTATGAGCTGACTTGACAAAAGTCGAAGATTAATTCAGCTATATACTTCGACGTTTAGTTGCACAGGCGGTAAAGAGAACGACCAATATCCAAAAAAATATCCTGTATACGAGAAATTATTTAACCTCATTTTTTTTTTAAATATATTTGCAGGTCTTCGTTTTGTTTTCATTCGCAACTCAGCTTGTCACAATTTTCGTACTGTCGTTGTCTCTTTTTTCGTTTTTCCTCTGCTTTAGCACATCGCATGCATCGTCGTCAGTTATCGTTTGGCATTGTTAACGCTTCAGTAGGCGCTGGCGCTACTTTTAATGGAAACGCTAGCAGTATCAACTCACAGGAGAACATTTCGCCTTCGTACAATCACACACAGGTTCGAAAGTCATCATGGCCCACGACTCCCGATGAACCATATGAGGATCTTGGCATTCAGGGTCATTTGCTCGTTGAGCCCAAACTGCAGGTATTTCTATAAAATGGTCTAGGTATATGTAATCCAGTATAGTTACCATAGTAACAATAGTTGGGGCAGTTTATTTCGTTCAGCGTGATTGATATTGCATCACAGGGATAGGTTCAGATTTTGACGTATTTATAATGATATTCAAATGTAATTAGTATGTAAATTTGTTTTTGTTTAGCCGTTACCACCACTAACCAACTTGCGTGAATCGGTAATTATCTACGAAAGTCACAAACGGCTTTGCCAGTGGTACCACAAACAGCAGGCTGAAATTGAGTTGTTAATGAGACGAAATCGGGAGCTCGACGACCTTGTCCAGGTGAGTGTATAAGTCCATCACTAATCAACAAAATAAATAAGAATAAAATTTTCATTATTTGAGTGAAGTTGTCTAGTGAGAACGATTGCAGTTAGGTTATGGTGAGCTGTTCTCTGCATGAGTATTTGATGTGTTTGGTAATGCAAAGCACACATTTTTCATTCTACATACTAAGGTTGTTTTTTTTTTTAAATTTACTTCATAATAAATGCGCTTGGTTGTTACTAATATGTGAACAAGTCTTTAAAATCACTTTTTTTTTTTGGATTCAATTTTTTACACAGACCTATGAAGCGGCACGGTAACCTATATGCCATATTAACCATCCGCCAGTAACCAACGATAGTACATGTTTACGGTCGCCATGGCAACGCATTGAAAGGGAAACGCATTACTCACACGTATCATGCCACCCCACTCGAGCTTATTACTGCATTGTCAGCTTAGTGCATAAATGTTTTGCCGTTTGTGGGGTGTGTTTTGCGCATTTCAGGAAGTAACGTCAGGCTCTATTATCCGAAAAACTGATATCCAAGTGAAATATCAAGAACTGTTCAACGAGCAGCGAGGTCTTCTTCAGCTTAAGGACAAACTGAAGCGTCAATTGCGCGAGCTACAACACCGAGAACTCGACGACGCATGGGTCTTTGTTCAATAGCTATCACCAGAAGATAAAAATGTATCTTACACTGGCGAAAAAGTTAGTCCAGACGATCCGCATATTTTTTAAAAACTAGCCCGTACCACACTATTCTCTTCGCGTTTACAATCGATGACCCGAAAAAATTACCAGTCTTTACCACTCTGTCTGACATGTGCTTCTCTTTACATGAACAATTGTTTTCGGCCGAGTTCTGATACAAGTTACTTCTACAAACATGGAGCGCTATTAGCATCTACAGTTCGGTCAGGTCGTGCGTCACATATGCGAAACAGGCTGGCCACTAAAATCCTAGGAAATCGGAAACACTTGACGCAGCAGTAGTGTTCTATTGTCATATAAAGAACAAATTCTAGAAACTGACCACTACCCCTCACCCCGGCGTATTACCGTTTTTAATCAATCAATTTTGAATCAACGTACGAGCACTGCTAGTGCTGCCATAGCACGATTGCACCGTTCTTGCGGTCAAATTTAGCGCGGCTAGAGCGTGCATAAATCGCGAACAAGTTGCTCTACCAAAAGCCATCCCGTAACGTGCTGTTGAAGTACGCACATGCAAATGATTACAATGTTAATGATTTTCGAGAAACGATATTTCTTTCTAGGCGACAAAGCAATGTCTGGTTTGGGCTACACCATATGAACGATAATGGTGCCCAGCAACACTGCACTGTTTGGAGCTCGCGACCGGCGCTGAAGCTGTGGACCAGAGATAGTGCCTTCAGACCTACCTGAACGACCAGAAGCACGATCTGTTAGAAGAGATACTTTTAGAAAAGGACAAAGACAAACATTTATATCGAAATTTCAAACAGGGAAACACGCTGCATGGTACAATCCCGTGCGATTACTTTGAGATTTACAGCAAATATATTGTCCCGTAGATTTCGCCGTGTTGAGAAGCAAGCCAGATGAGTTACAGATGTTATCCATGCTCAATGGGCTATACATAGGCCAGATCTGTTTACAGCTAATTAGCACTTTAGGGCATGTATGAGACTACATTGACGATTTTCTCTCAAATCAAACTACGGCACAGGAAAATGCTATGTTCGAAAATATGCTATCCATATAACGAAATACAATAGGATAAAAACTAGAAAACAGCTGGGAAAAACATTTTAAACAGTATCATTTTTTAATTGTGCCGGCGACATTATTGGCGTGATTACAGTTTTCTACAGCGTAGATAAGTTATATTTTCGATCCTATATATCAGTTTTCCTAAATATAACGAGTTATTTTCACGCCACCTAAATGTGGCAAAGCTTCTACCATATAGTAAAATATAGTTTTGATTAGTGCTTTATTCTTTTTCTCTTAAAAAAACAAAACAGACCTATTAAGATATTAGTGTTCGAGCTACCATAAAAATGAAGTATTATCTGGGTTCGAGTTCTATGGAGGCATGAATACCATCCAGCAAAGCAGCCTTCATACCTATTTATGTAGCTGTTAACAGCGCAAGATGAAGCTACAGTGAAGCGACCTACCAAGCATATATGCCAGGCCTTATTGAAGTTTATAGGTTACAACTATAGTTTATTGATATTTTTTTAATAGGGTAATTTTATATGAGAAAGGCAAACATTCTGTCTTGCTTCCACACATCAAGGTTTCTTTTCAATTTTCTTTTAGGCAACTCGTTGTGGTTAACTTACACAACTTAATGTCCGTCTTAGGAAAAACTTCAATTCATTACGCATCTTGTAACTCATGTGATAGCTTGGGCCTAACAGCTGCATAAGGCCGTATGTACCATTACCTACAAACGGACCCGTCTGGTGTGGATGTCCGAGTGGGCGTTGATTGTTGATGGTAGGTAAATTACTTACAAAGCGTTCTTCGTTTATAGATATATATATATATATAGAAAGAGCTAACTCGAGGGGCATTGTTTGAGGTGTACAAGCGAAGTCAGTAATATATCGTGTAGTATATATCTAGTGTTGAAATGGCGGTCCGCCGTTATAATTACTGAGGTAGTTTTTCTGAACGCATATAAATGACCGATTTAATCATCTCTTGTAAATATTCTATTATAGATCAGTTAGTAATATAAGTTGTACATATCTATAAGTATGCACTTGATATGGCGTATGTATATAAAGCACAGTTATCGAAAACAACTGTAATTATAGAAAAATATTTGTAGTTGTGACTGTTAAACAATAGTATTAAGCCAGAAGCAGGTGTTTATTCTAACTAGACCACGTCATGCGTTACTACAGATGGGAACGGTTCCTACACTGCTAAAGTAGACACCATTGAAAATAAATTTCATTTTATGTATTGTACTACAATATATAAATATATATTGTGCAATTGTTTTGTATTTGTTTAAACGAACAGAGAAGGTTTGACCTATTTCGACGTTATAAATCGTAGAGATCCGCCAATTGTCATAAACTTATGGCTGTTAATTTTGGGCAGAACGCTCATCCTGTTCATTCGAATTACACTAAATATATTAAAAATTAGGCGCTATTCGTCTCGTTATTTCATGACAGTAACTTAGTCAGTGACAGTGTTTATTATTCGATTTGAAAAAGATAAAATAAAATAGGTACATTTATTAATACTCTATGTCAAAATTTGGCCCCAAGTAGCCAATGGTGTATCAGAGTGGTGCATGCTACTAGTAGAATCTCTATATTTTTGGCTTTTAAAATGCGTCTAGGCTGTATTTGATTTTGGCAGCATACATACATTAGTTGTATCTGTCTATAATACAGAATATTGTGTTTTATACAAATCAGAGATCTGATCGTGGACCGCAAAAGCACCCATGTAAAGAAAACGTCTGTCTATACGCGGTAAGTAACACTACTGCCAAATTAGCGAAAAACGAAGTTCTTGTCATCGAAAATCGACCTCTTTATTTTATCTGTTGGAAAAAAAAATAGGTTCTAATAACTGCTGAAAAAATTAAGCATGTACTGAATCGCTTTATAATTATTACTGACAATAATGGCACTTATTATGTGTGAGAAGTCTGCCGATATTTTAACGGCTTGCACAACCTCCAATGCTGAGTGCTGTGATCAGATGGACATGTAATACTCCGTACCGATAAAAAAAAAAAGGCGTGAAAATGAAATTCTTATCATGTAACAAGTTATTTTGTGCTAGCTCGATCCGGGTAATTTGTTTTATGATCAATTGCACATTTGTTTAGATGCACCCGTCGTATATATAGTAATACGTAGAGCACCGATATGAAGAAACATCAAATCAAAATTACGATATGGAATAAATGCAAAACGATCTTTGTAACATGCAACACTACATGAGTTATGGAAATATGGAGCACGTATTGAGAATTCACTGGTGTTCTATTCGACAAAGGCGAAAGGAAAACGTCCTCCGAGTTTTTTAGAGTTACGAGAACTTCCTAGAGAGACACATCTGTAACATACTGCACATGCGGCCGTCTGGGTTTCAACAGCAAACCTCTACCACATACATTCGCAATATAATGTATAGTTCAATGAGCACATATATATATATATATATATATATATATATTCGACTCTGTATATCCGGTGTTTCAATCAAATTTCCTCCTTGGAAACTGCTCTTGTTGTTAAAAGCTGACTCTGAAACTTGACAAAATCAATTTGTGAGCGCTCAAAAGGAGATCTCAGTACTCTCCTTGATGTGGAACATTGTATATGTCTAACATAAAAAACCTGATAAGCTCGTATCGAGTAATTACGGATTACAAGACTGCGTGTATTAACAATACTGCTCTCTATCCCAACAGCGCTTGAAATAGTTTCCTCGTCGTCATCCTTGTCGTCGTTCGCTCTGCACACTCCTGGGATTTATTTCATTGATTTGCAATTCGTACACTGTAGGCATATGTTATCACATGAAGCTTCGCTCCATATATGCTATCCCTTCCTATTCGATATGGGAATTAGACATATATGATAGCTCTATTCAGTGCTTGTGTGTTCGCCCGACCACGAGGAGGTTCTATCTGCTACAAGTAAACGTTTATTAATATCATAAGTATAAGCTTTAACATAGCTCCATGTTTATATTATTATACTTTTAAAAATAAATAAAAAATATGCTTTTTCAGTCGACAGGCGGTCACACACCACTGAAGTTAATATTGAAATCTATATGCTATCCGGTATATTATTATATATGGGCGCACAGCCCCTTAAAGTAAACAGCCCGTTAACGGCTTAATTCTGCGAAAGTCCACATGAGCATACGATGAATCCCATCATTTGAGTTTCAAATGAGCCATTGTCCTAAGAGCAATGCAGTTGGGCTGTATATCGCAAACCTAGATAAAAATGAGAATATTGGTCTAGATCAACATATATTGCATTCACAACCATAATTAGCAGTTTTCAGGCCACGCTCGAACTGTCGCCGTAGTCGCTGAAGCCTTGTCATTTGGCGGCTTACTGAAGCTGAAACGAATATTGTCAAAAAAGCATGTAGCTCTTGAATAGCGATCTCAGTTCTTTACCGCAATATATACTTCACAGAATTCTGCAAAACAGACTATCTATGCGAAACTTCAGACGGAATTTTCGCACTTTAATTTGCATCCATCTTGTCCGGAATGATCTGCGCCCGCAAAATCTGCCACAGATTAAAATAAGACAAATATAAACGCCTATTAGCTCCTATAACAAAGGATAGAATAAATGTGATGTATTAGAAACAACACGCTTTCCCATTTTAAAAGAAAAACTTGAATCCAAGCTGAGTGCAACACCAACATTTTGTGGATGGCCACAATAAAATCCGCACGGCACCCCAAGTCTACCGCTCTATAGCTAACCGACACATGCGGCAAACCTATCAGACGTTCTCGAAAGCTTCCGTACTTCCTATATGTGCTGTAACCAAATAGATCCTTTTTTATACATCATTTTATTGTGCCTTTAAGTATACTCACCCGAATTCACTAATTACCCAAAAACGTTTTTCTAAGCTAAGCCTTTTATTTAGTTTTTCTGTAGATCTAGTTACACCCAGTAGAGGCTGGCCAAAAAAAAACGTATTTACCTTTATATGCATAATAATAATTATAATAGCATTAGTATTAATGTACCGAAGTTTGCCTCCGCAGTACACACACTCACGCACGCGTTACACTTACCACAAGAGTTTACATATTTTGGAGACTTTTACACGTTTCTTAGAACATTTTTCGGGAGCTATGCTTTTAGCATCGAACTTGTTTATCAAGGGTAGATCTATGAGCCGGGTCATGCTTTAATACTTTCCGTCTGGTTGACTGTTTCCGGTGTTCATATTTTTATTTGTTGCTTTGCTTTGTTATTTTTCCTCATGTACTATCTACCATTCCATCTCTACTCTTCTTCAGTTTCGGGCCCGTCTTCCTTTGTGTCCTTTTTGCTAGTGTCGAGATCGTTGTCTTCATCCCCATCAAGCATTATTCTAATTTCCAGGCCATCGTCCTTTTCTTTGCCCTCGTTCGTATCTATTGCCTCTTCAAAGTCACTCGCTTTTTTCTCAGCGTCCCGCAACAATTGCCTTGTACCGTCTGGACCGTTGTGCTTCGGGAATGCACAGTCCTCTTGGCCGTCAGCTTTGCCTTTGGCTGTCGAATCGTCGACAAGTTCCACATTAGTATCGTCCTCGCCGATATCATCGATTGCCTTCATGGTCTCTTGTAGACCATCACTGTCCGGCTCGGGCAGGATCGAGGAGGTAGTGTCCTTTTCGACGAGATTGTCTCGTTGAACTTGTGCCACCAACGCCGCCTCCTTCATTCGTACCAGCCGAAGCTTCTCCACAAGAACTCGCTGTTTGAGGTGTTGCGTCTCGCGCATCGACTCGACAAGACTTTGTACCTAGAGTCGACCAAATAAGATGAGGTATTAATGAACAGGCCTATTGTCTGTCTTCACGGTTTTCGTTTCGACGTTAATGTAGCTGTTTTACTTACAGTACCGCAGAGTTTGGTCATCTCCTTGTAGAACGTTCGTTTTTCAACCAAGTGTTCAGAAACATCCCCGGACTCCAACTCGAAATCTCTGCGACGCTTCGTGGACACGCCATTAACGGCTATGCGGCTATTCATTTGTCCAGCTGCAGACAGGTCCGAGGCTGAACCTCTTTGTCGAGTACCGCCTGAAAACTCATCAGCCAAATGGTAAATGGTCTTTCCTAGAACAAAATTCCCAGGCGCACCTTAAAACTCGCTTGTTACTCGTTGACCGGCCTTCTATATGCATACAGCTGTACAATAGATTCATAGTAGGCTTTGCTCTATGGCAGTGCGCGTTGCGTACTGTGCAATCATACTGTTTTTATTACACACCATTCGCGTAGAGCTGCCCCCCTTGAGCGAGTGTATTCCTATGCAGTCTTTGTTGCTGTGGGTGCTGGTGATTTGAAGGAGTGTGGGTGTCTCGTTGATGAACCTGTTGTTGTTGCTGCTGCTGCTGTGGCAGATGGAAACCATTTAAAGTAACCGCATTCTGTGAAGACTGCGAACTCTGTGATGACTGCTGTAAGTGCTGAGAAAGATGACTCCCACTAGGCGTCGGAGTGCGTCTAGCCAGAGTAGCTGCGGACGGAGGCGTGTGCGATATGGTCATCTTTTGGACGGGTTCAAGACTAACCCCGGGCGGAAGCGGTAAAGGCGACGGACTCTGCTTGACCTGTGGTAGAACAAAATATTATTCGTCGACTTAGCTATCAGGCTTGTGATAGTGATAACTCAGATGTGATCTTCACCAGATTCAAGTCGAAATGACGCTTTACATATTGGATCAAATGTTTCTACAACAGAGAAAATATCTAAAAACATGCGTGCATAAATAGCTTTGCGGATCTTCGAATGGCTATTGTATATTTTTTAAGAGTCGTCTGCTCACATGATCAAGTTGTATCTGTTGTTGTTGTTGTTGTTGTTGTTGTTGTTGTTGTTGTTGCTGAACAGCCTGTAGTAAATGGTCGATCCCGCCAATGGTGTGGTGTCCATTGATCCGTTCGGCACCGCTAAGTGTAACTCCTGAACTGGAGCCCCCAGAACCTCCAGACAATCTACGCATTTCGTCACCAAGTTCTGCTTTGACTCGCAGTGCTGCTCGAAGTTCGTCTGGATCTTCAACTGAGTTCGAGCAGTCAGAGAGAGATGCCTCATCAGAAGCAGGAGCATTTGGCAAGGTCCCTGAGAGTCCGAGCATTCGTGCGAGCGCCCCATTCATTCCCTGCTGTTGCCTGCAGAATGGATGTCATTAATTAAATTATTAGTTGATTAGCTCCTTATGTCAGTTTCAGATATGTAGAAAGGAGGACAAAAGCGATTCAAATATTCCTTTGATTCGGTAGCAGAATTCAGCAGGTTAATGTGATCATGAAATCATAAAAAAAATTATGAAGAACTATTACTAGCAGGATTTTATGGTGGTTTCAGCAAGCTTTTCGTTAAACCACTGACAGCTATAAATGGTTGTGGACAAATGTGCCATTTATTTATACAGGCGTCAGGCAGTAATCAGATCGATTACTTGTTCTATGAAGAAAACCGGGTGGCAGTACCTCGAACGATTCGTACAAAAAAACGTGTAAAATGCTTAGCCGCTGGTCAGCGCTTTCTCGAAATAGGACAAAGCCGTCAGGCCAATTTTGAGGTCGATATATGCTAAACTATTTCGAGATGTGCTTTGCAAACAAATAGCAACACTAAATACGACATAAATAATGTATTCCATTTTTTTATTTTTATTTTCGTTCATTCAATGAATCGGACAAAATTTTGTCAAACAGACGGAAATTTTTGTCCGTCGAGATCCTGTAGTGTTGCCATCTAATTATTATGATGCCATTATCTAACAAAATTATTTAGTTTCCATTGTTACAGCTATATATAAAAAGATCGTTTAGTTACGGTGCCTGCTGTGTACCTAGAGAACACTGTGACTATCAAAGACCACACAAGAAATTTCGACACAATGTTGTTGCAAACAAATCATGTTAGTTCCACATTCGTCTCTGTTCCCGTGAACGGATTTACGTCGAACCTCGATGGCACTACTCCAGTCCAAGAGTTAAAAGTTCAAGTTACATTTTGGCAGGGTATGGAACCGGGCGATCAGACTAGCTACACATTTCATCTGTGTTTTAGAATAACCAATTATGTAGATGTCTCATCGACGTTTCTAATTAATCTAATTATAGATAACTTTTAATCACCACTCCACCATCGAGACGTCGACGAGCACAAATGTTGTCTTTTCTACTAAATCGCAGATAGCCAGACGTCCAGATGAATGTTAGTTTTGTCGAGTTACCCAGGAACATTGGAGCAAAGGGTGAAGGCATAAAGTCTACGTTAAGGAACCATTTCACAGTACCACTTAGGGTGTCTAAGACATTTTGTTGTAGCTTGCTGTGACACGAACGAGAACTGAAGCAGCTTTCAATTCCTTCTCGTTTCAAGCCCGAAGGAACTCTGGCTGAATCGCCATCGATCGCGGCCGTTGAATAGCGGGCGAATTTTCTACAGGTAGAAGTGGTTCGTCGACTTTCCGACGATCTTTGTAAAGACAGCAGCGCCAAGCAAAACTCAGAGGCACGGGGGTTTGGCGTGACGCTTTGAAACACAGACGTTAGAACCGGCCGACACTAAACAGTCATCAGGATCCACAACGAGCTGACTTCTGTTCTGACGAACAAACACACAGACAGTGGCAATAGGCAACTCCGATGTTGGCGAAGGTAGTAATGGCGGCGTTCCGAAGTTCCGTTGACTGGTCGCGTCAATTTGATCAGCGCTTTGCAGCGATAGCGGTAGCATTCTCGGTTACTCAACGTTTTTTTGTTGGCGTTAGTTGCTGGTTATTGGTTCGTCGCTCGTGCTTCCCCCTCGTTCATCTGCCACTATCACGGTAGCTCTGGTTAGGTTTAACACTTACGCCGTCTAAAGTCGCTACTGCTGCTGGTAAAGACGAAAGTACGGCCCCGTTTACATCAACTACGAACACCGCCGTCAGTACTACAAGCAGTATGACTAGATTGCCATTCTCCCCCTCGATGCTCGACTTGAACTTTTTTCCTATCTTTTCTTTTCTTCGCTCGTGATCAGTTCACTATGGTCTTTTTAGTCTTTTTATGAGCGCCATCGCGCGGATATTCACTCTTCTAATCGCATTGATGCTGTCGACAACAACGGCGCAGCTATACTATTGCCATCGCTGGGCTTTTTTGTTCGTTTCCCCTCTCAAATTCATCATTAAGTTTTCTTGCTTCCCTCGTTCCCCCCTCCTTATTCACTACTTGTATGAGATGCGATCCAGAGAGGTTTGTTCATTAGTAGTATGGTAGTATCAATAATTTCTAAAGATATTAGATATGCATTGCTTGTTCTAGCATATCCAGAATAGCATCGATAAGCTTGGTAATCAGCAAAGTTGGCATCAAGTTCATATCAGTAACTTCGACACAATGACATCAGGACATTGAGAATGCAACTTCAAGACAGACCGGCGAATCACTTAAAAATGATTGAGACCTTATCGACCGGTGTAAATCACAATGGCGTCTTTGTGATAGTACCAGACAACAAATAGTTCACATGACGTACGTTAACATTGATAACAATGCCTAAAACCAGTTTCAGGCCATCGGGAGCTTGAAAATTCGCGTTTGTAACTCACTCGATGGTTCTCGGTGACATAATTCATTTTGATGTTGCTTGATATTCCATTCATTGACGTAGGTCATTTCTCGTATACTATATTGGCAAAAAAATAGCGACCCATATTATAAAAATGTTTTATCTCGGTTTTTTTCTTTGTTTATGGCGCTCTTTGTTATATGGTATTTTGTTGTGATATAGAATTTAATTATGTGGAGGACAAACTTTTATCTCCAGTAGATATTTTCGACACTAACGGTGCGGAGAAGCTTGGTTAACAGGGCGATGAGGACTGCTCGAAAGTAGATTGCTAAGTGAACGATGGCATATTGGACGTGGAGGCTGCATCTGATCCCCATCGGAAATCCGAGACCGACAAGAATTATAGATAGCCTACGACAGACGACTGTCGTCGGGAATCTTGAGTCAATGGGATTTTGTGAAAATGAAAGGTTCCATTGCTCCATATTGAGTGAAGAACACAAGAAGGAACATCTTCACTTAGTTTACTTCGAAAACCCGCTTGGCACTAGACAATACGCAGCCACACTCACATTTTTCTGCCTAGATTCGTTACAGGCGACGAACAGTAGCATCTTTACATTTACATGAGGCGTACAAAGAAAACAGTACCTCCGCGAGACACGTCTGAAGCCAAGCCAAAAGTGAACTATATACGTATATAAAGATACCACGATTTACGCTTAATGGGACCTGAATGCGTTTCATGCACATACTTGAACTTGTATATGGCCCAATACGACGAAGCTATCTAACAGAAAAGACAGTGGGCACTCTATGTCGGCGACAGCCAACGGAAACAGCTGTGAAAGCCGTCCGGCAAATGTTTGAATCAGGTGCTCTGTTTTCACCAGACCAGACCTCGAACGGACCAATTAGTATTTTTTAAGATACCGTTAAATGAAATTGGTAACAATACACCTAACTAGGAGAAGGTCGTCAAAAACCGGATGAATTTTTGAATTTCAAACTTGAAAATTCCTGACGAGACGGAAGAAATGAACTAGTCCAAAGAGAAGAAAGTCATTGAGAATAATAATTCTGCTGTTTTTGTCAGCTTATATTTAAGAATTTACTATATGATTGTGCAATAGAAAATACTACGACCATCTTGAGGTACAAGACTTTGGTGATCCGTACCCTATATTTTGAAATTCTAATAATAAGTTTTTTTTTTCTTCACATGACATATAGTTCAGTTTACCCCCGAAATCAATCAGTAAAGTGGAAAAAAAACCAAGCAAATATGTAAGTGGATTCATTCACTGAGAAATTTACGAATCTGAATTTGGTTGGAAACTAGGTCTGTTGGCGCGCTTGTACACTGAATAAGGGTTTCCAACGCGTCTTTTCCACTTTTTGCGTATGTTACAATTGAACCCAGCCACTCGTCATCGTTTGTGAGTTCTTCATCGAACACTCCTAGCATTGTACGAATAATGTCCGATCCCTATTTTATGTCAATGGGTTAACTCTCGCCAATTAACACAATTAGGTTGCAAAGGCGAATAAGCCACATATTATATTGTGTTTGTAAACGTCGTCCATTAAACCATCATCATGGCTGCTTGCAGAGGATTGCGGATCTAGCAGTGCCGTCGACTGATTATTTTTCTACCCTATATTGATTCAGGAAATATCAGCGCCTAACAGATGCGGACGAAGTAAATAAGGATTACTCTTACTACATCAATGTTGCGTCCACTGTCAACTGTTTTTTTTTTTCTGTTACTACTGTTATTTTTAAACACATATATGGATGGTATAATTTCATTTAAGATGATAAGGTCGTGGCCCCTACGTTTCACCGCGGCTCGTTTAAACGACCCTAACAAAGCAGCGATTTCATGGACCGCTTCCTCCTATAACCCATTGGTCATTATTGCAAAATACCCAAATGATCATCTAAAAATACATGATACATCAAGTTAATAATAACAGCAATGCAAGCATGTCAAACAAACATATTCCGCAATCCTTCTTTCAGCTGTTTTTGCATCGAGAAAAGAAGCATCACTATATAAAATGACCCATATTACATCGCAAACGGGAAACGTATTTCAATGTCTGTTAATACACATATCATTAATGTAACATGTTCGTACGGGCTGTTGCCTGTACGACCGTTTGCCAACTAGGAAGAAAATTAAAAACTCTGAAATGTCCACTAAAACAGAACGATTGACGACATATGCGTCCGCAAAGCATCGCTCGTTCTAACAATAAACGAAGAATAAAAAATCGAAATGAAAAACAACGTGAAGACACGATACAAGCGCCAAAAAACGATAACGACGAAGACGACATTTAAATAGCAGACAACGGCGGTCAGTTGGCGTAAGTTTTGCTTCAGTGTGTGCTCCCACCTTCGCAGTCGCCTCTCTTGCAATCGTTTCCTAGCACTAGCGCGTTTCTTTCGCCGCCGGTGCTGAGGATCACGTCGTCGTCTTTGTTGTTCACGCTGTTTCTATCCGGTCCTATGCGTTAATTTCTGTGCCGTTACAAATTCGTTTTCTCTATAGTGATGTCGCTACTGATTTAATGCTGTTACTGATATCGT